GCAGTACCCAGAGCCTCCAGAAGGGGCTGTGGCGCGCGTTGTCGCCGCTGGTGCCGCTGGCTGTCTTCCTCGTGGCAGGCGCAGTATCCAGAGCCTCCAGAAGGGGCTGTGGCGCGCGTTGTCGCCGCTGGTGCCGCTGGCTGCCTTCCGCGTGGCAGGCGCAGTATCCAGAGCCTCCAGAAGGGGCTGCCATTGTGATTGTGCGCTACTGCCATTGTGATTTGCGCAGCAAGGGTTCTCACTCGTTCGGAATCGCATTGTAATGGCTGCGGCACGGATGTTTGCAACATGTCTCTGTGCGCTACTGCCATTGTGATTTCCACAGCAAGGGTTCTCACTGGTTCGGAATCGCATTGTAATGGCTGCGGCACGGAAGTTGGCAGAGTGTGTTTGTGCGCTACTGCCATTGTGATTTGCACAGCCAGGGCAATCAATGCCTGCGAATCGCATTGTAAATGCTGCGGCGAGGGTGTTGGTGAAGCCTGTCTCTGCGCTACTGCCATTGTGATTTGCAGTTCTCTAGTTTAGCCTGCACGACCGTTCTGAATCTTGTTTTGAAAGTTCTCTGGCCATGGTTGTCATCACAAAAACTCACGTGGTTGCAGCAGACATGTTTTGATTCACTTACTTACATGTTTTCATGACATGTTTCTTTTCAACATCTGTGAAATGCCGAGTGCATTTGCGGATCTGACGCGGATCTGGCCAACATCTGTGAAGGTCTCACGCGGATCTGATCGCAAAATCCAGAGCCTCCAAACTTCTCTCTCCGCCTCCTCTCTCTCTCTCTCTCTCTCTCTCTCGTCCCTCTCATCCTTGTTCATCACATCATCAGACACTTTATCACACACCCACACACACACACACACGCACGCCATCTTACCCCACACACACACACACCTCCTCCCTCCCCTCCTTCTCATCCTCGTCCATCACATCATCACTTATACTACACGTCTTAGCACAACCGCCTCATATACCTTCTCTCCTCACACTTCGTTCTTGACTTTTCATCTCACTACTCCGTCTCCCATGTGATGTTCATATACAATTGAAATTTGTAAAACTTATCATGTGGGGTTATCCGGTCCTTTTTTTTGCACAGAATTTGCACATCATCAAAAACAAACATAAAAAGACTAACTTCCGTAACTTGTTTAAAAGTTCTGCTAGCTTCAACAACTATGTTATAAATTTCACATGTTTTTGAACTTACTCGGATTTGTGTTATAACTTCCAAGGAACTTATCGAACTTAGCATAGGTTATAACATATGTTATCCCTACTTATAACCTATGTTGATGAAGTTTCTAACTTCTTCAACTTGGGGGGCCGCTTAGTGTAGTAGTAGTAGTAGTAGTAGTAGCAGGAGTAGTAGTAGTAGTAGTAGTAGCAGTAGTAGTAAGTAGTAAGTATAAGTAGTAGTAGTAGTAGTAGTAGTAGTAGGAGTAGGAGTAGGAGTAGGAGTAGTAGTCGTCGTCGTCGTAGTAGTAGTAGCAGTAGTAGTAGTATAGTAGCAGTCGTCGTAGTAGTCGTAGTCGTAGCACCACTCACCCGCCGAAATGCCATAGCTTGATTGGACCGGATTGGAAATCGGCCTTTGAAACCAAGACGGGTTTTGACACGCCACACTTCCTCAGTTTCCTTGAAAAGAGGCCAACCTTTTTCCATCTGTTCATATTGGTGGAGAAACCAACCCCAAAATAAGGTAAAGGTTATCTATCCACCGACTGGGTAGGCTACCCAAATCGCACGCGTTTGCACGAAACAGTGGATTATCCAACCACATGAACTGAAGGAATCAAACGCCCGCGAAGCCTTCGAATTAATCCAGGCCCAGGCATCCCTGCGCGGATCATCTTCATAGCCACCACCTTGCCGCTGCTTAGCCTGTGGTTTGTAGCTGAATGGTCTCACAGCTCCCCTGCATTCAATCGACCACTTTTCACAAATCATAAAGCTAAACAATTTGTGAAAATCTGGGCGGCGCCTACACCACTAGAAAAGGTTACTTTAATGATACAACGTTGCATTGCAAAATTGCAAAATGATGAAAGCGCGTTCTGCGCCCCCACCTTGAGACGTTCGAATTTGCTCTCGAAGTGGCTCTCAAAGGCTTCCTGCTTGTAGCCTCTGCGCTGAAGCGTCGTTGGCCTCATGATGGTGACTCCGTCCTGCGCAGCCGCCATCACTGACTCGACCTGATTCTGCTGACACAACGGTGAGAGTATGGATGGTTACCAAACAGCCATGATAGATGTCCACTCTCCTTCGTCTCCACGGAAACCCAGCCCTCAACGGGAGAGATAATGCGGACACGGCGACCTGAGCCCGTCTCATCTTTGAGCTACTTTGAGGCGCCAGCGTCATTCGTGGGTGCAATTTATTGTTTTTGCGTCAGGCTCTGGCGCGGTTAGACAACAGAAGAAACATGACATTTTAGCTGCTTGGGTTTCAGAGGATGAGCGAGCCAACAGTTTACCAAGTTCTTTCAGTGCTTGGTGGCTCTGTTGTGGCTGGTCAAGGCACCTCTATTTAGAAAGTTGACCACGTGGACTCGTTGAATTGTTTGGCGACCAAAACTGCAGGCCCTCTTGAGCGTTATGCGCTGGACAGACTTTTAGACCTAGATTGTTCGCCAGTGCGTTTTGCTAGATTGTCACGAGCTCTCGAAGTCCACGTGGGAAAAGGTCTTTACAAAGAAAAAACACGTGGGAACTGGGACAAAACTGCATTTCACTGTGATTGGAACACGCAGGTGTGGGTTTTCCCGGTAAATCCTACCGCCGACACAGTGCGGCGTGCGCCTGAAACTGCAGGGCCGTTAACAACACCAGCATTTTTTGACACCAAGTTTGACTGTGCCAAGCACCTGCGATCTATTGTCTATTTGGTATTATTTGGTAATGATAACATGTCTTGTATGGGCATATGCGGCGCGGGAAATCAAGAAATGGCAACAAGATCTTTTCTCCAGCAAGATCCGGAGAGAACACCACCACACGAAAGACTGGTTCTCACTCGTGACACTCTTGTCCTTTTCAACTCTACACAGCACTGAGGCAATGACCAGCCTGTTCCACAACTGTTGCGATTTCCCCTTCAGACAGCTGATGCACCTGGAACGCGCTTCAAGATGCGCAGGCACACGCGCAAGACTACATTGTGACAAGCAACAATGTAGAATAGCGTTGCGCAAGGGCAATCTACAAGAGAGCCACCCAATAAAATGCTGCACAAGAGTGTCACGCACAAGTGTCCCACCGTGTCCTAGCGTGTTGCGCACAAGCGCAATACATATATTTGAGTGTAGTCAATCACCAAGGTTTGGCACACAGAGACGGGTCTAAATTGTTGGCACCCAGGTCGGTCTCTCATGATCAAAGGAAGAACCCATTGAACATATCCACATATAACTGGCCGTGCGCCATCAATCTGGCAGTGACAAAAATAAACAGGGGCTGACAACGGGTCAGAAATACCATGTGCCAAAAGGTAGCGCCCAACTATATATTTAAGAAAGATACAGTATTACTGTTTTTTCTAAAGGCCCCTGTCAGCTCTGTGTCTCTGCGTCTATTTACAAAACGGACGCAGACCCGGCAGGACTGACCGATCGGACTCCAAGGACTTTTTGGCAGCGACTTTCTTAATTTAGGTATATCGAACCAAACTATAAAATCTTGGGTTGAGATAAAATCTTGGGGCCCAGTAGCCGACGCACACACTAATGGCACATACCGCTACCTTAATGATTGTTAATTTACGCTTCATCTAATTATATTGCAGTGGCCTTAGATGGAATCTTGGACCCCAGTAGCCGACGCACACACTAATGGCACATACCGCCTACCTTAATAGATGTTAATTTACGCTTCATCTAACTATATTGCAGTGGCCTTAGTTGGCCCCCAGTAGCCGACGCACACACTAATGGCACATACCGCCTACCTTTATAGACATTAATTTACGCTTCATCTAACTATATTGCAGTGGCCTTAGATGGAATCTTGGCCCCCTGCTGTAGCCGACGCACACACACTAATGGCACATACCGCCTACCTTTATAGATATTTGTCAATTGCAGTAGCGACCCACGAAGTTCGACTGCTCAATGATGAAGCGCAAAACGAATGCCTTTTCTGCAAGGCATGATGTCGTAGGCACAGGTGACTCAAGGGCCCTAGGGGTAATGGCCCACATTGAACATGGAAAAGCAGCGGCCGATCACCGCTCATCGAAATGACATGTGACAAAAGCAAATTGCATACGCACTTTGACACGGCCCAAACTTTTCAATGGGTCCATGTCAGAAAACATTCAAAATTCGAATTCTCAAGTCGACGAAAATTCACTGACGGCTTCACGCGGCGCTTTCACAAAGCGGTTGGTTTCAGCTTTCCATGTCACTTGTGTCTGAGTGACACGATCCTTCACTTCTCCTGTTCTCACACGCTCGCGGTGGCGATCCATGCCTTTGAGCTCCTCAATGCGGCGCTTCTGAGCTACAATCTTGCGGTTCACATCCGCGAGGAACACCAAGTTGTCGTTCCATAGCCGGTGCCATTGCATGACCTGTTGGTCGGAAAACACATGGGTCTCTTGCGACCTCATCAGCTCACTGAACTTCCTCCAACGTTACGTCGTGAAGGATTCCGAAGTCAAGATCATGCGCGTTTGCGCATCTAAGGAGCTGTCGGTGTCCTCAAGCTCGGCCAGCAAGCGCCTCCAAGGAGCCTGTCCGGCTTCTTGCTGCGCGCGCATCTTCAGCGCGCTCCATCTCTGCCGTTCTGCATCAGGAAGGTCATCCTCAGCGTTCACGGTCGAGCTGGCAGTGTCAATGCCGGGGCGACGAGCCAACGCCAGAGCGTTCATGATCGGCCCATCTCCATCCAGCGTAGGGCTCGATGACGCGGCTTCGCCATGGCTCCAGGCGTTGACATTCTCAACAGTCAAGGCATTCTGGGGGGTTTCATTTTCCTCAGCGACCAATTCATTCAATCTCGCGACGTTGGTCCACACCTTCGTGACCTGCGAGCTCACAGACAAGCAGACCTTGTAGAGGATCACCTCAATGCCATAGCAGGCACAAAAAGAAACATGACCAACATGGTGGTGACCAGCTTCCAGTCAAAAACAACAGTCATGTTCTCCTCAGTGGCTGCTTCAGCTTTCGGCAACTCTTCAACCATCAAAGCAGCCGCTGATGCTAATGCAACTTTTCGCCAGGTCTCTGGGCATAAAACTGACGTCTGCAGCAATAGCGGTTCTTGTTGTCGCTCTGGTTGACAGGTTTGCTGCATGATGGCAAAAGACCAATGCGCTTTGAGATCTTTTCCTCTTCGGCTTCAGCCTCGGTCAAAAACACCTGGCTTTCCTTGAGTTCATGGGAGAACTGCTCATGGAGAATGCGCTCCTTCTCTTTGTCCTCAGAGGAAACCTTTTTCAAGGCAACGAAGCTCAATTGTAGAACAACTCATGCGTGCCTCTGACCAAATTTTACAATTACACCACCGTAGACCCCAAACAGTTTGTGTTTTTCGAAATCGGAACACTCTGCAACTAGAGCCTGCGACGTCCAGAGCTGGGAGACAAAGGATTGCAAGGCAGAGGCGGCCACAGCAGCCCAGAGCTGGGAGACAAATGTCAGAGCCGGGAGACACATATAGGATTGCAAGGCAGAGGCGGACAAATGTAAATGATTGCAGGGCAGAGCAGCTGGGAGACACATGTGAAGGATTGCAAGGGAGCGGGGGAGAGAGGAGGCAGATGTAAAGGAAAGAAGGAAGACAACACAAATGGGAAACAAATGAATAGAAATGCTACATGGCCAGCGGCGGACAGCACCAGTGACAAACCTGCGAGACAAATGAACAGAAATGTTGCATCCAGCAGAAAAGGGCTCACACCAGCAGTGACAGACCTGGGAGACAACTGAATAGACATGCTACATGGCCAACAGAAAAAAAGGCGGACCCTAGCAGCGACAGACCTGGGAAACAAATGAATAGAAACGCTACATGGCCAGCGGAAAAGGGCGGACACCACCAGTGCCAGCGAACACCAGCAATGACAGAGGTGGGAGACACGTGCATAGAAAAGCTACATGGCCAACGGAAAAGGGCGGACACCACAGTGACACATGAACAGAAATGCTACATGGCCAGCGGAAAAGGGTGGACACTAGGAGCAAGTAGCTGCTAGGGGCTCGTGGCCGTACTACTAGGAGCAAGTAGCTATTAGGGGCTCCCGGCCGTACTACTAGGAGCAAGTAGCTATTAGGGGCTCCTGGCCGCACTACTAGGAGCAAGTAGCTACTAGGGGCTCCAGTAGCTAGTAGGGGCTCCTGGCCGTACTACTAGGTGCAAGTAGCTACTAGGGGCTCCTGGCGGTACTACTAGGAGCAAGTATCTACTAGGGGCTCCTCCGTACTACTAGGAGCAAGTAGCTACTAGGCCGTACTACTAGGAGCAAGTAGCTACAAGCTAGGAGCAAGTAGCTACTAGGGCTCCTGGCTATTGGGGGCTCCTGGCCGTACACTAGGGGCTCCTGGCCGTACTACCAGCAGCAAGTAGCTACTAGGACCTTTTGGCCGTACTACTAGGAGCAACTAGCTACTAGGGGCTCCTAGCCGTACTACTAGGAGCAAGTAGCTATAAGGGGCTCCTGTACTACTAGGAGCAAGTAACTATGAGGGGCGCATATTTCCTATGTAAAGGGACTTGTTTTTGGTTGTTTGGGGTATATATGATCTATATGTGTGGTTGGTCAATTCGGAGTCCACACGGCCACGAAACGGTCACCGCTCCGCCCCCGGGTCCAACTCGGTCGTCCCTGACGAGGAAGAGGCGCCATGCCGCACTGGCCGCTTCCTGGATCAGCGCGTCCGGCGGAAACATGGCACCAGCAGGACAGACCTGGGAGACAAAGGCCAGCGGAAAGGGCGGACACCAGCAGTGACAGACCTGGGACAAATGAATAGAAATGCTACATGGCCAGCGGAAAAGGGCGGACTAGCAGTGACAGACCTGGGAGACACATGAATAACCCGACCACAAGCACCCAGCCCGAAAGACAAATGAAAAGGACTGGTAGACAAGCGAAAAGAAGTGGGAGACAAATGAAAGGAAGTGGGAGACAAGCCAGCCGGGAACCCGACCACAAGCACCCAGCCTGGGAGACAAATGAAAAGAACTGGGAGACAAATGAAAAGAAGTGGGAAACAAATGAAAGGAAGTGGGAGACAAATGAAAGGAAGTGGGAAACAAATGAAAGGAAGTGGGAGACAAGCCAGGAACAAGCACCCAGCCTGAAAGACAAATGAAAGGAAGTGGGAGACAAGCCGGCCGGGAACCCGACCAGACCATCCCAGCACCAAGGCGACCATTCTTTAAAGCATTGAGAACCCCTAACAGTAAAAAACAGTTTGAGGAAAAAGGAATCTGTCGGGGAAGGCTTGGTGAGCCCATCGGCCAACTGCTGGTGAGAGTTGACCCAAAACCATCGTCCACTGAGCGCGGTCATGCGCTCCTGTTCGCTTCTCACTGAGGCGAAGACCAGCGGCCTTTGTTTGAGCAGCATCAAACAAGCTCTTGGCGTCAGTTGCCAAAGGAGAGCTTCCGAATTTCAACAAGGCTTCCGAACTATTGATGTCCAACGAGCAACCGGCAAAGATGGCCAAAAAGATCTTGCACCACTCCAGTTCATCCACGGCCATCGCAGCCGCTTGAGTCTCTGCCGAGAGTGAGGATCGGCAGATCCTAGTGAGCTTCTTGCTATGCCACTGGAGGGTCGTCAGAGCCATCATCTTGCCTTCATCAATCTCCTTCTCACTGCATACGCAAAGGATCATGCCGCCTTGGCTGCTTCCATCAGGCCTCACAGCCCAACCGGCGTCAGTGTACGCCCCAATGCGCAGCTGTGACACCTCTTGCAGCCGCCAAGTGTGGCTCTTGGCAGCTTCCGTTGCAAAACGAAGGAGTTTGTTCGCTTCCGTCAAGTCGCGAACCGAAGGAGAATTTGCTGAGGCCTGCAAAATGCTGATGAATGTGCAAAGCTCAGGCATGCACATGGTTCGGAGGCCAAGCCAAGGCACCCAGAAGAGCTTGGGATTGTCGAT